ACACGCGGACATCGACAACAGAAAAGTGCCTCCCCATTTGGTAAAACGAGGCTTTTTTCTTATGCGTATTTCTTATCTTCTGTGCCGAAGCGCCCACCGTACTCATTTTATCTTTACACCTTTTATTTTTCTATGGAATGGTCAGAGTTCTAAAGCCTTCTGATTCAGTTTAATTAAGAAAGCCAAAATTTTTATTTAATAAAAATTACGTAGTCAAATATAACTTTGCTACAGACACCCGCCGGCACACCTGCAGAGACTAGTTCCTTTATTTGCCTTCCGTTGCTTTGAAAATGTACCTTCTTGTCTGCCCTCGAATGACAAGGCTATTGAAAGATTTGCTAAAACAGCTTCTAAAGAGAATGTCTAAATGAAAAAGCCCTTCCCAAAAGAGTTTATTCCAAAGCGCTCCCAATATTTCCGCCTGGATCTTACACTGTTTAGTTGCAAATAAAATTGGGTTTGTTTGTTTTTTTATTGCTTCCTTTTTCTTTTGGGGTTTTTTCTATATTTATTTTCTACAAGCTCAAACGCTTTGTGGCAAATACGAATGGGCCTGTCGAAATTTTAATTCGCACCATCTACATACTTACATCGTCAAACATTTATTCAACTCAATTCTCGACTCATATAATTTTTTAAATCCTCCACAAGTAACTCTTTATAAAAATGTAGCATTTGTGAGGTAAATTTTTCAATCTAAGCAAATATGTAAAAAATAATTTAAACTTATCAAATGATTTGATTCTATTAATACTCGTATTGATACAACCGAAATATAACCATCGAATTTTTGTAAATAAAATCCACAGAAATATTTGCAAACCCTCCAATTAAACATTGTGACCTAACAGAATTTTGGCAAAACCTTTGGCCATGATTATATTCATCTGAACTACAAATACATTGAGCAACATGCTCTTTTGCCAAATGACTTTTCAAAACACCCACAACGCCCACCAAAAATTAATTTCGACAATTTCTAGCGAGCTGCGTTTATTACGATTTCATATTTGTTTGCTTGTTATTAAAGTTTTCAAATTCACCAGCTTTCCTCGCACAAGTTTCATCGCTCTGCGGTTTTTCATTAACAACTCCAGACAAATTAAAATTAGTCTGCTACCAAATTCCTGGAATTTGGTACAGCCGAACATATTCCGAAAATGGAAATACCAATACCAATACCAACACATAAATACGTATGCAGAGCTTAACAGCTTAAACCCACTTCAACTCACCCAAAACTTTCACCTCGACAGTACCCCTTCAGTAAAATTTATACAGTCTGACAAAGCTCTAGTACCCAACTACATATATCGGAACTATATCTGATCTAGTGCAAAACGGATGCAGAACGGGACAGTTGAAACTTTCGGTGTAAATGTGCAAATGCTCATTAATCGTACAATACGAAAGTAGCTCAGCAAAAAGACCGCCGACTCAAGCATCGTTGGTTGCGAGTTCAAATCGCGGTGGAGACAGTTGTGAGTTTTCAAAGCTTACTATAATTTTTTTTTTTATAAAATTTGTAACAAAAATCGAATCTTAAAAATGTTTTCCGATAACAAAAAAAAAATGTCCAACACGGAACCGGTTAAAAACTAGATGCAAAATAATGCACTGGGCGACAGTTGCCACAGCCAATGACATCGCCGTGTAAAACTGGACAGTTGAAAGCATTGCTTGGGTATTGAGCTAGAAGTAGTACTATCGGTAAAAGGTCTAGTTCTACGCTAGTTCTGAGCTAGTCAGATTTTCTGCAGGGACGTTGCGCTGTGTAGTTGTGTTTATTGCGGGCGATGCAAGTATGTGTACCCTAATCTGCGGTACGTTGCACATTTTCGATGAGTAAGGTGCCGTTCTGAACACGCTGTCATATATTTGTGGGCAATTTGACGCCATCTGTAATGTGCAAATATTAGTGAATGAGTATTGGAGTAGTACATACATAAATAAAAATAAAACAAGCATGTACTTTTAACATATATATAAACATTGTAAATATATATAAACATTGTTCAAATGTACATTAGTGTTAGGGTAAGCGATAATTAGGCGTTTAAAAAACTAGGTTTTTCTCAGTACTGCAAATAATTTTTACCCACAAATTTTCCTATTAAATTTTGAACGTCGCCTCAGAGTTTTTTTATACCAGTTTGAGGCTGGTAGTATCCGTGGACGTGTTGTAGCATAAGAGTTAACAATTCTCGACCATTTGGTTTTCTTCCGCTACATCCTAGATGTGAAACTAAAATCAGTAGACCAGCCAAAGTCCTACCGACCCACAAGTCTTACGCCTTTTATACTAAAAGTCCTGGAAAAAACGCAGACAGGCATATAATGGATGCTGTAAGGAAACTTTATGTAGAGAATATGCTTATCGTCCACAAAAATCTATCATCCATTCTCTTCAGAGTCTTACAAGGAAAATTGAGAAGTCGACGAAGAACAAAGAGGACGCTTTGTATTGTCTTAGTGCCAATAAAAAGCTTTTGAATAGCGACTTTGGCGACGCGATTGCTGAAGAAAAAACCAGACCAAAGTATAGGTACGAAAATCGCGGTCCAGCACTCGACTAAGAGGAGGCAAGAACAGCAATAAGGAGACTTAAAACGACAAGGCCCCCAGCTTCGACGATATACCAGCTGAGCTGTAGTAACAGTTGTCTTTCGGAGACCATAAACAGGAAAAGAACGATGCTACTGGCGTATGCAGGATATATTAACCTAAAGCCCCTAATCAACCCTTTTAGCTTATTTTTAAGCTGAAAAATGCTGTACTGACACCCCTGGGCTTTAGGCCTCTGATGTCATAATATCCTGCACACGCCAGTTGCATCTCTTGGAAACAAACAAAAAGTCTCCGCATATTGGGACATAAATTTCTATTGACAGTTAAGACTTTAAAGTAGTGAAGGACTGTCCACCTAGGATGCAGCATAACTACCATCAACAACGTTAGGCTGGAAATCAGGCGATGATTAGCTCTTGCCAACAGGTGATACTCGGTGGTTAATTGGAAAGCAGAATAATCTCGGCAAACTAAAATATGCTCTACAAGTCTGTTAACATGACCTTTCGCAGAAATATGGGAGATGTCGACCAAAGATGAGAATACTTTGGGGGATTTCGAGAGAAGTACTCTATGCAAGACCTATGACACTGTTCGCATGGACGACGGGTACTCCAGAACATGGGGTGCCCAAATTTATGATCTTTTTAACGACATAAACAAAGTTATGCTCCAGTGGACAAATCTTTTGAATCTTCCATCCATGGTTGGATAACGAATTAAATGGCGCCCTGATCAAAATGGAAAATTCAAGGGCGGAAAGACTTTTCTGTAGTCTGTATGAACAACTGGTGCAGATTCGCAAAGGTCTCCGCTCAAACCAATAGACGGTTTCAGTGCCAAATAAGAAGAAGAGAAGGAAGAAGAGTAAGAAGAAGAAGAAGAGAACTCTTGTCCTGCATTTGATGAAATAACACTCTCGCCTGTGTTGGGTTGTTTTGGGACACCCTATATAACAGATATAACCGTTTCCACTGCTATTAAATAAGTCATCACGATCACCTTAATAGTCGAGTTTGCATACGCACTCTTACACGGCTTGTTATGCAAAACCTAGGGCGCCATGACCTGTCAGTAAGTTACCACATACAAAACTACTTTGTACATACTCGTACATATGCTCGCTGTGTTCGCAAATTAATAAATATGAACATGAATGCTTACCTTTCTCTATGATGATGCTGTCGAAAGGATATCCTGCCACGGGACATTTCAAAATAAATGTCTTTCCCGCCACTGCAGATAATTTTGGCATCATGCTTCATGTATGGCATACCTACGAACATACGAGGAAGTAGAGGAGGGAAGAGTAAAGCGTTGAAGAATGTTCAGTTGCGTAAATGCTTTCTAAACAAACACATAAATATATAAAATGCAGCGTAAAAGTCAGACTTTCATTTCAAGCATTTGCTCCAAATGTACATATAAAAATATGCATACATACTAATATGTATGTATGTGTTCATATTTTAGCATCCTGTCAATCAGTCTGTATGAAATTGCTTGTCTGTGCACTTTTAGAAGTTATTAGGGGTATTCACGATCCGGTGCATACTGTAGTTAGCATAAATAGCATGATGTTTGTTGTTCTATGCACCATGCCAGACAGTATGCACCGGATCGTGAATACCCCTATTGCATTTATTTTTTTGTTGTTACTGTTGCTATAACTTCGCAGCTGTGCATCAATGTGCACATATTCACACATACACGGGCACGTGTGTTTTATACCCATGCATATGTATGTAAGGCCCTACCCTGCAGAAAAAAATTATCCATTGATAAAAAATAACCCTCTTGTAGTTAGCATTTTTGCGGGATTTCTATAAAATATATAACTTGTAGTTGGCTACAGAAAGCTAACTTGAAACAAGTGGACAAGTAATGCAAGAGTGATGAAGGAGATTGTTTTCTTTAAACGTGTTTCTATTTAAATATCCTGCACTTCGCAAATACTTTTTCGAATTGAGGACAAATAAAAGGAAGATCGAAGTTTCATATTATCATATTGAAGCTATGTCTGAGGGAGTGGAATGTGGGACCACCTGCAGCAGAATATGAAAATAAAGATGAAATGTAATAAAATAAACAAAGTAAATAAAAAAAAATAAAAAAAAATAAAATTAAAATAAATAAAAAAAATATTTTGATATTTTATCTCCAAAAGTAGTTAATTACGACTTAGTTACATCAAATGCAGAGGTAACCACCCTTGACTGTTTCGCGGCCATCGCCATAGAAATATAGTTAGCTTTCGTCAAAGAAAATATACAGATAATAGGTGACTTTTAGCTCCTTTCTAATCAACTTAAAGTTAGCTTATAGTTAGATTCATTTCCTGCAGGGTATGTACGCCGAGGCAGCTCAACTCACCGTATGCGCCGAATGCGATGCTTCATCTGCCCGCGATGCCTTGCCTTGCATTCATGTTCACCTCCATCCTCCGATTTTAACGCAGATATATTAACATGGCTTATAACATCGCCGAACATTGTAATATATTGGCCAATCATGAGTCGATCGTTCTATGTGGAAGATACGAAAAATGTTATTTTAAATCTTTAGGTATGCTTAAAGTTTAATGCTCATTTCTTCATAATCAAGTGTCTGTATTTTACAAATAATTTTGTTGTACTTCTATATATTTTGGGAAGTAAGCCAATAGAATACCTAAGAATCTTTCTCATGGTATACTAAATAAGATTCAAATAGCGTTGTTAGAAACTGCGCGGCCTCGTAAAGATCATTAAGTTCCATAGGTTATAATTTACGACCAAAGTACTTAGCTAACTCCTACAATCTGGGCAATTTTTAAAAATATAAAGAGTTCACTATTAGGCCCCAACTAAATCTTTTAGTCCAACAATGGTTCATCAAGCCCAACTAGGCTCAGGAAATGTGCTGTTTCGACGGGATTGGGGACCAAAAGGACAGGGGCGTTAGCTGAATACATTTCTGTGGGTAGGTGAGAAGCTGGTTGGTATCGTGAGCGGAACATTGAACAAACTTGTATTTGGTAAGTCGGGGTCGAGTAAGTTCACGAACGAGTTCAAACGATTACAATATCCAGAACTTAACTGGGCCAGAGTGACGCGGGTCTCACGAGACTGCTCAAGCTATCCATCTACAATTGATGGGGATTGGGCTCCATAACAGCATTGACAATAACGGGTCGTCAAAGATGGTGACGGACTCTCTGTGGATGCCTGTCTTTTGACAGTTTGTGCAGCCTCCTGATCACTCGACCTTTAACTTTATTCTCCCAAGGATGCAGTGTGAATTGCTCGCTAAAGTAGTTGGCGCATCGCTTCGTGTCCGACGAGTCGGGCGAAATTTCCCTTCCACCACAGTGTTGAGTTCCTGTGCAATTTCCTGAACATGTTCCATCCGTTGTATTTGTATTTATTTAGATGTTTTTTTCTAGCACAACAATTAAGCAGGTGTTGCACCTAAGCGAAGTGAAATTTGGATGGACTTTTCGATGACATATGCAGCAGAAGTACGTCTCTGGTTCGGGGTTGGACTCAGAAGATCTTTGAAGAAGGATGAAGTGAAACTTTACCGAGTTATTATGGTACGCATAACCACTTCTCCTCTCTGCTTGGAGTATTCAAGAGAAAATGTTTGTGGAAGATCCACGGGCGAATGCCGAAGACGATCTACGATATTCTTCAGGAGCTTTACTACCACATACACATGCATAGTTCGCCGGATTAAATATGCGGCTCCTCTTCGATCGAAAGAATTGGCTCCACTTGGCATTTCCAATCGGCGTAGGTTGGCAAAGAAGAGAAGCGACTGGAGCACTTTGTTGTACTTGGACTAAATCGCTTTGGCTGGCAGTTAAAGCGCAAAACACTATGAAGATGCAAATTAAAGAAAAAATCATCTTTCGTATTCAGATCGTACCTTGGCTATCTTTAAAACTTCCCTTCAAATACTGTGTCGAAAATCTAGCCTCAAACGCGCGTGGTGTTAACATTATTTGTGTATTAGAATTTTCTAATAATTTTACATCCAAACTATTTGAAATTCCATAGAGCCACAGTTTGCCTTTACATTCGCCTTTGCAACTTAGTCCATTGCTTAAACGCATATGTGAAAAAAGAGTTAGAACAAAAGCAATGATGGCAATAACAATAAGATTGTACCGCCAGTCGTAGTTGTGCATAGCCAAAGTTTTCTTAATGTCCGCTCCCATCACTGGCACTGGTGCTGCTGTATCAAAGAACATCGACGCAAAGCACCAGAGAAACAGCGCAACCAGCACCAGAGCCACATCTTCAACATTCTTCGCAATTGTTCACTATGAAATGGCGCGCATGGTTGCAACGGCATTGGCGTAGCAATTTTTGTTTGTGCGAGTATGCTAGACGGCGATGATAGCTTTTGCAAAGTTGTGGCATACAGGAATAGTTTTATACATATGTATTTACATACGTACTAAAGATCTGCATGGGAAGTCATTTCACTTATCTCGGCTTTCTGTAGATTAACAATGCGATATTTACAAGGACAAGACGCATTGAACGTGCAAATAGCAATTTTGTGTGAGTTTGTGCAGACCTTTACTGCGTACATTCACATGTAGAAGGTTGTGGCGTGACGTTTGGAGATGATGGCGTTGGTGAATGCGAAAGCGCACAACTCTGACGATGACTTTAATTTGCGTATCCTCTGGTGCATAACAAAAAAATGCAACGAGTTATGCAAAATACGCATACCCCTCGGTTGTCCCAACAGCCATCAGTTGCTGGAAGAACACCGACAACAATATAAAATCTAAAAGAAAGCGCATATGCAAAGCAGAAACGCTTTAGAGAAGCGTGGAGAGAAACAGCAACAGCAACAGCAACCGACAACATCAGCTTGCGGAGCTAGTAGAAAGCATAAAGGCAGCAACATCAGCCGCAGCTAAAGGATAGCCAACTAAAACGTTGAATAAGACTATGTGCCTCATCTACATATGTATGATCAGACTCCAATTGCTTTGTGGGCGAGTGTGTGTCGACGTGGTTGAGTATGTGTTGAAGTTGGTAATGAAATTCGAAAATATTTCAAGCATTTCTCTGCTCAAGCACATGCCACAAGTATGTGGCGGCACCTCCAGTGGTTTCTAATGCTTTTAGTATTGCTCCTCAGTAGGGATGTGCCGGATATAGATTTTGCCGGATAACCGGATTCCGGATATCCTGTAAAAAATAACAGCCGGATTCGGATATCCGATCGGATATCCGGTAGACTGCTGCCCTTAATAAATTTCACAATATTGTTTTTTTGCCGGCTCGAGTTCACCTCGACCTCCGCACCGTTTCTGATGCTACAGAATTTACCATTTCGAAAACACAATTCCGCACACATCCGTGCGATGCTATCGCAGTGAAAAATGGCATCTTATAAACAAACAAAAAACAATCTTCATCAAATTCTTTTCTTTTGAACAATCAAGGTGTTTTGTTTTCTTACGTTAATTTTTGTTTAAATTATACAGAACCCG